CCCCCCTAAGAGAATAATCAGTAAACGAGGACGCTGTTTTCAAGCATTTTGTTTTAGAATGTTACTACTCCAGAACAGAAATTAAACCTCTCACTTTTGAAAGTCTGTATTCTTCAACAATAATAAATGAGGCCTGACTAAATTCAGACTTTTATATTGGTGATAAAACCAGGATAAATTTAAGCATTCATTTTAACTATGCAAAAACATTTTACTTATCTGGACTTATAATTATCATCCATATTAATAATGACATATCATTACCATAATGACATAATAACATATTAATAATGACAGACCTATCTCTCAAATATACGTAGGGAAAAAAACCTTTCAGAGAAATCTGAACGAATGGCTCCACTATATACACTGAGTTACTAAAATAAATGACTTGCCCCAATTTCTCCTACAATTCAAACATTGGTTTTTGGGTTTTTTGGGTTTTTTTTAACAAAATACAGTAACAGGGGCGACTGGGTGTCTCAGTTGGTTAAGCATCCAACTCGATTCCAGCTCAGGTCATGATCTCATGGTTCATGAGACAGAGCCCCGCATCAGGCTCTGCACTGACAGCCCAGAGCCTGCGTGAGATTCTCTCTCTCTCCATCCCTCTCCCTCTGCCCCTTCCCTGCACACTCGCTTGCTCTCTCAAAATAAACTTAAAAAAACAGAGTGACAAATCTCATGAGTTAAAATATATAGAAGATTATCCTGATCATGCAAAAGTTACAAAGCACATACAGCAAAGAAAATAAATCTGATTAACCCTTAAAAAAAACAGTATTCAAGGCTAACTTGTCAATCTGGTAAGAAGCATTTGGTATATGATTTTGTATGTCCCCAAAAAGTCGACCTATAAAAAAAGAGCTGCAAACTGTACTAAACGTTAAGCCTTTTCCAAAGAATATTAACGACGTGAAGCAAAACAAATGGGCAGCAAAGGAACAGGTAAAATACGAAGAAATCGACCAGCAGTCAGTGTTACAGTGGCCAGGCCCATTACCAGGAGACGGTAACACCACTTCCCTCCTGCCTTCACAGTGTCACTGTCCCCGCTCAAACGTTCCTACCACTGCACCTTCCTCGGAGGCCCCCAGACCGCTCTGCGTCCCTCTTCCCAACGAGGCCCCAGCAGCCCTCAGAGGTCCTAAGTGCGGGGACGGCCATCGCCACGTGTGAGCCTCAGTCACCTGGACACATATTCACCTGGTCCTAGACTCACAGATAACGAGGGTCCTAACTGTCTCAGGGCGAGCCCTCCACATTTGGTTGATTGTACACGAAGCCCTCATGAAAACAAGCAGCTCTGGCGCAGCGGCCACCGCGGGGGGGGGGGGGGGGGGGGGCCCCCCCCCCCCCCCCCCCCGCCCGCGGGCGCCGCGGGGGGGGGGGGGGGCGGGGCCCCCCCCCGCAGCTTCCCCCGCCCTCCCCTCCCTGGCAGCAGACAGCGCTCCCTGCGGTGACACGGGGTGAAGATGGCTAGAAGGCCCTCACCCAGGCAGCTCGGGAAAACGATCCCCCTCCCACCCCCGCCACTACCCAAGTGCAGTCAAACTAACGTTGTCAGGTGTCCCGCGTTCCACCGAAAGCCACAACAGAACTCATTTACACAGAATGTTTCCTCAATACCACAAAGTTCTGCAGTACTTTAAGGTGGAAGCCACAGAGGCTGAAGCCCGAACGCCTGAGGACTCTTAAGAACGAAACTGATAAGCACTGGCCACAACAAAGCCACCTCCCGAAACTTGTCGTCTTAAGTAGTGTTGTGTTCCCAGCATTGTGCTGGGGGTACTCGACGGGTTTGGTACTTGCTGAATGAATGAAGCACCGTAGGTCATTCCCTCAAATGCTTAAGTATCTGCAGGGGATTATCTCATTTCTATTTTTACTGGAAAAAAAAAATGTTTATGCTTCAGCCAACTTCTACGTTCATCTGCTTGTTGGTAAACGACGATGATACTGCATGTTATCAGCATTTGCCTTAATCGTCTGCAGCTTTTACTAGTTTTACTAATTGGAAAAGATTCATTCAATCTCAGGGCGTAGAAATAATTACAAACACGAAAAATGCAGGACGACTTAGTCTTTAGCTGTTGGTAATACAGTACAACCGGGGGGAAAAATTCATCATACCTTTTGCTGCGGTGGATGCCAATTTAAAAATACAATCCGTGGACACACACTTAAGTAGGTGCTACTTCAAACACCCTTCAAAACACATGTCTACATTTAACACTCTTTACTGAGATGGCTTCTGCTACTCATTTTTTGGGCAACAAATACAGGGCACATGGTTGTAGGGAGGAGACTCAACTTTTCCCTCCCAGCTGATCTTTCATAAGTACCATGCATTATTATAAATACTTTAATGGCTCAAATTATGTTTTCAACTTCCCCAACAATCAACATGTTGCCAAAGTTTCTCAACTAATACAGACAAAGCATTTTTTCTCTTGTAAAACAGTAAAAACAAAGAAATTGTCGGTAATGCGACTCAAATCACAGGACACTTTTTAAAGGAAAACAGGTGATCACTGAGGGAAAGTCAATTTCATAATAAGATTTATTTACATACCAGCACAGAATATCCCTGGAACTTCACTCCTGACTATTATGGTCCGTACTTTCTTATCAGATTTCAAAGCATCCACAGCTTTTGAGAGCTAAACAGATACAGGGAGGGCATGGAGAAACAAAGAGGAAAAATCACTTTCAGGTTGACGTCAACACTGCATCTTAATATTAGAAGCAGACAGTTTAATGTTTACACTCACCATTTTTACCAGATTTTTACTGAATGAGTTTTTGGCATAAGCTCTGTTTATTCCAAGCACCACAATTCCTAGTCAAGAAAAAAAGGCACACCGGAGTTAGTGAACTCGCAGGGCACAGACTCCCACACACACAGCTAGTGGACTTGGGACTTAGGAAATGTGCCCCTTCCTTGAGGGTCACGCCAAGAGCTTCGTCCTGATTTTTGTGTTTACCCTCCTTTTCAAGATAAGCACATTTTTGGGGCGCCTGGGTGGCGCAGTCGGTTAAGCGTCCGACTTCAGCCAGGTCACGATCTCGCGGTCCATGAGTTCGAGCCCCGCGTCAGGCTCTGGGCTGATGGCTCGGAGCCTGGAGCCTGTTTCCGATTCTGTGTCTCCCTCTCTCTCTGCCCCTCCCCTGTTCATGCTCTGTCTCTCTCTGTCCCAAAAATAAATAAATGTTGAAAAAAAAATTTAAAAAAAAAAAAAGATAAGCACATTTTTGAAGACTGTGGTAGATGTACGTAACCTGTAAAATCAGTCTAGTAATCAATGCCCACCTCTTCTGCCTGTTAGAGGAGAACTTTACAACATCGTGATGCTTTCAATTCATCCCTTCCTAAGCACCACCAAGATAATCCGCACATTGTACTAAATTCGCTCATGGGTGAGAAGAATCCTCCACTACAGAACACTGTCTAAAATATGGTTTCATCACCTTCAAGTACATGCAGAAGAAACAGCTGACAAACCCTTATCACAGGCAAGCCCTGCAGATCAGCTTTTCGGCTCGTCAGTATCTTCACTCACGCTGTCTGTCATCCTGTCCTCAGTATCTCCATCCCAGGTTTCTCTCCTGACTCTGTCCCCCACACTCAACCTGAAGGCGCGTCCACTTAAGCAGAGTTCACTCCCCAGGAAGTTGCGCTCTCCCTCCTGAGGTTCCTGACTCAGACCAGCCTCCCATTCCAACTGCTTCAGTCTGATCAATTTCCCAAGAACAATTATGCATAGAATCCACCCCCTGCTTAAAATCCTTTATTTAGTTGCTTCCGAAACATTTGCGTTCAGAGCCCTACAGAGCCTGTACTTGACCTTACCTGTCCCCTGAGTGAGCACAAAGGTTCCCTGTGTAACAGGAATGCCTTCCACCTCTTTGGGGGCGGGGAGGGGGGGGGTATGACCCTTATTTGTTACTAAGTTACACTGAAGACAGCAACATGTACACACGTCTTCTCTATGCAAGACACTGTGCAAACCTACTTTGCAAAGAAAGTACAAAGATAAACTTCACTCACAGAATAAATTTTCAAGAATTCCAAATGCTCTCAGCATGGAGAAAATCAGAAAGAACCTGGATGTGGGGCAGGCTCTGCATTAAACCCCAGACTGACCTCGGGTAGGCCCCCCACTCACGGACAAGAGCCGTCACTGAGCACTTGCTGACACTGTTCCCAGGGCCTTATGTTTATCGAGTCACGTGATGCCCACATAACCCAAGAGGTGGACACTACTTTCATCCTAGTGGAGAGAAGGAAGAAACTGAGCCTCGGGGAAGCTAGACTGCCAACCACCTCCACAGCTGAATGAAGGACGCGGCTACAGCGTTCAAGCTTCCGCTTCCTCACGAACAAAACCCACTGGGTAAGACTAGACGCGTCATTTATTCAGCTGTGTCGAATACACATTACGGTGCTCAGCCCTCAGGGAACTTGAGTCTAGGAAGGACGACAAACGATAAAAAACATACAATTCGAAATGCTTTACATGCTGTAAATGGTGCTCCAGTAACTCGTAACCAGAACCGTTAAGATACGGGGGCTGCAGTCCAGCCAAGAGAGAACAGGTGTAGCTGAGGTCAACAGAGTGAGGACAGGAAGCAAGAGGGTTCAAGAAGTAGAATTTCAGGGAGTTAGTGATTGACCGGACTGAGAACTGACCACACCGGAACGTGTTAGGAGCGTCTACGAGGTTTTCACTTCAGCTGTTGGATGACAGATGACATTTCAAGACAGAACCATAAAAAAACAAGAACCAAGGTGAGGGTGGAAAGGGCGAGAGTTCACGAATTTGGTTTTGAATTCAAGTGACTCTGACGTGCCTTTGAGATATCCACATAGGTATCAACTCTAAGGGTACACAGAGGCTAAGAACGCAGGCTCTGAGGTCTGGTTGCTAGCGCTGAACTCCCAGGCCAATGCTTACTAGCTGTGTGACCTTGGGCAAGTTACTTAACTAACCCCCCAACCTTCAGTTTCTTACTCTGTTGAGATACTAATGGTTCCCAACTCTGTGGGACTGGTGTGAGTGAGGATCAGTGATAAAACAGACGTAACGTTTACAACGTAAGCGTTCAATGATTATTGTTCCTCCTAACACGCTTTGATGCAGTAGAGTATTACCATGATCTGTTGATATGGAAGCTTCTAGAAAATGTATTTCCATACAGAAATAAAGAGTGGTGTGCTACGGCTTTGGTCATGGTTGATATTGGATATAAATGAGATCGGAGAGTATCTTCTGCTGGTGCTGATCTACATAAATGGGTCACACATATTTCCTTTATCTTCTTAATTCAGCCATAAAGAACTTTATCAAGATATTCTTTTTAATGAATAACATTCTGTGAAATGAATTTCCATTAGTTTCATTTGATGAGCATTTAAACTGTTCCTGAATTTTCCTTAAAAAAAGAAAAGCTATAAAATAAAACAAACCATTCCGAAACTGTCCTAAGTCCTACAATCCTGAATTTTCCTAAATCCTACAATGCTGCAATAAACATTCTTCAAGGTTTCCTTTCCACAGGTGTATAAGTATTTCTGACAAGTATCAGGAAGTAGAAAGTCTAGGTGTACATTCTTAATTTTAACAGATACTCCTAAAAAATATCGTCCCTATTAACTGCCTGGCCAAAGCACTAATACCAGTTTGTTCACAACAGCAGACCTCAATGGGATGAAAAACCTCTTAGAAGACATTTGGAAAATGTAAAGGAGCATCTTGAAACTGTGACCAGGTGGAATCCAGGGTTGGCAGGGCCTGAAGTTTATAAAATTTAAGGAGCCCCTGTAAGTAAAAGAATACAAAATTACACACACGGAATTAGGGACAGATGTAAATATTGAAACCTTCAGAATTTTAAAAACTTGAGAAATAGTACATTTTCTTTCCAATTACATATCTGAACTACACAAGGTCACGTCCTTCCCTCTGTATATGAATTTTTGTACATATCAATAATTTGAAAAAGTATACAAAACCAATCAAATGGAATTGGAAAGAGGAAAATGGAATTGGAATTAACCCCAAAGAGTCAAAACAATCTTGAAAAAGAAAAACTAAGTTTGAAGTCTTAGTTGAAGGACTTAATCAGAACACTTCCTAATTTCAAAACTTACTACAAAGCTACAGAAAAAAACCAAAACAAAACCAAAAACAAAAACACCAGTGTGCTACTGGCGTGAGAACAGACATACAGACCAACGGAATTGAACCGAGTCCACAAATAAACACCTACGCTTATGGTCACCTGGCTTGTGGAAAAGGCAATGCTAAAAGAACAGTCTTTTCAACAAATAGCAGTGGGACAACTAGGTATTAGCCCGCAAAAGAATGAAATTGGACCCTGTCCTTACACCACGTGTAAAAATTATCTCAAAACAGATCTGAGACATAGTGTGAGAGCTAAAACTGTGACTCTCTCAGAAGGAAACACAGTTCCACATCTTCAGGACCTTGGGCCAGGCAACAGTGTCTTAAATAGGACAACAAAACCACAAGCAACAGAACAGATAAATCATAATTCATCAAAACTATCAAGAAACAGTGAAAAAAACAACAACGCACAGAATAGAAAATATTGGCAGATCACACATCTGACACGGGGTTAACATCCAGATTATAAAACAATTTTTACTACCCACCACAAAAAGATAAACGAATGGGCAAAAGGTTTAAATGAGGATTTCTAAGGGAGATACACAAACGCCCAACAAGCAACATCATTTGTCATTAGGGAAAAGCAAATCAAAACCACAACGAGGCATCGCTTCACCGCCAGCAGGTCGGCCACGATGGAAAACCGTGGAAACAAGTGCTGGCGAGGGTGTGGGGAAACAGGACCCCTGGGGCACTGCTGGTGACACCTGAAAATGGTGCAGCTGCTGTGGGAAACCGCGTGGCAGATCCTCCAAAAACGACACACGGCCCGTTGATTCTACTCCTAGGTATCCACCCAAGAGAAAGGAGCATGTATGTTCAAACAAATGGCTATACACTGGTGTTCAGCAGCATTCTTCACATCTAAAAAGTAGAAACAAAATGTGGCATGTCCATTCGATGGACTAAAAAATAAGAACAGTGGATAAGATTACCATTCACAGCAAGAATGCAAGAAATGGTTACTGTCTTGAAAACAAAGAGGTGGCACCCTCCCACAGTGCTTTTATTGTTTAATTTTACCACCATGTGCATATATTTTTACTTTAGAAGTTTTGTAAACTTCAATAATTTAGCTATTGTTACTAAACAGGACATGTAATTACAGGACATGTAATACACAAAGTACTGAAAACCAGTGACAGAAAGAATATCTCCGATAAACCACATACAAACCTAGCTCCTTCCAAATATACCATTAAAAAGTGAAAAAAATGGTGGCACCTGGGTGGCTCCGCCGGTTAAGCGTCCGACTTCAGCTCAGGTCATGATCTCACGGTTCCTGAGTTCCAGCCCGGCATCGGGCTCTGTGCTGACAGCTCAGAGCCAGAAGCCTGCTTCAGATTCTGTGTCTCCCTCTCTCTCTCTGCCCCTCCCCTGCACACTCTCTCTTTTTCTTTCTCTCTCTCTCAGAAATAAAACATTTTTTTCAGTGAAAAAAAACAATTTTTTTACGAATCATTTATCTGATAAGGGACGTGTATCCATAATATATTAAAAACTCTTACAATTCAACAATAAAAAGACAAACAACCCAGATTTAAAAAAAAAAAAAATGGGCAAAGATTTGAGATGCTTCTGTAAAGAAGATACACACGTGGCCAAAAAACACATGAAAAGATATGCAACATCATGCGCCATTAGGGAACTCCAAAACAAAGCCACAAGGAAATATCACTTCCAATGCACCAGGAGGACTACAATCAAAAAGCACAATGACCACAAGTATTGACCAGGATGTACAGAAAGGGGAGTCCTGAGGCCTTGCTGGTGAGAATGCGAAATGCCGCAGCCACGCTGGAAAAGTCTGCTAGTTCATCCATATGCTAATCACGGAATTACCAGAGAACCCAGCAATTCCACCTTATGGAAATGAAACGTCCACAAAACTGTACATGAATTTTCTAAGCAACGTTGTCCACAATACCCCAAAAGTGGAAACAACCGAAATGTGTATGAATGATGAATAAACAAATTGTGGTCTGATCTACCCAAAAAATGGAATGTCATCGAACCATAAAAAGAGATGCGGTACTGATACGTGCTACCGCAGGGATGCACCTTGAAAACAGAATGCTCAGTGGAAAAATCCACAAAAAACCATAAATTATTTCCTCATATGAAATGTCCAACATACACAAAGCTACTGAGAGAGAAAATAGACAAATGGGTCCTATTCTGGGGGGAGACAGGGTATGAGAATGGAGAGTGGTGGCTAAAGAAAACAGGGCTTCTCTCTGGACTGATAAAAATGTTGCAAAATTGGATTGTGGGGATGTTTGCACAACTCTCTACACACACTGAAATTAACTGTACACTCTGAATTTTGTGGTATGGAACTATGGGTCAGTAAAGATTTAAAAATATACACATCTTAATATACGTGTTTACCAACATAATTCCCATGCCATAAAACGTATGAAAATATGTTGTTAAAAACATGAGAAAAATACATGACAGAAATCAATCTGCTGAAAATGAAAAGTAAGTAGATGTAGGAAGACCAGCCAGCCGACCCCAGCGACAGTCCGCCTGGGAGACGGTGCTGGCTCGGACAAGAGCCGTGTTGGTAAGGAAGCACGTGGAGGAAAGTGGAAAGGTTTCAAAGACACTCAGGAAGTCTTGATAACCTGGATACGAACGGTAAGCAAGGAGCAGGCATCAAGGATGCCTTGCATGACACAGTTGCTTATTTGTTCTATTTCTGCCAGAAGTTTTTCCAACGCGGTTCACAAAGATGATCTCTGAAATGGGTCACAATGGGGGCCCCTGGGTGGCTCAGTCGGTTAAGCATCCGACTTGGGCTCAGGTCATGGTCTTACTGTTCTTGTGTCCAAGCCCCGCATGGAGCTCTGTGCTGACAGCTCAGAGCCTGGAGCCTGCTGCGGATTCTGTGTGTCCCTCTCTCTCTGCCCCTCCCCTGCTCCCGCTGTCTGTCTCTGTCTCTGTCTCTCTCTCTCTCTCTCAAAAATAAACATAAAAAAAAAAAACTTGAAATGGGTCACAATTATGAGTAGAAGCTTGCCAGACTGGGAGAAGTTTAGAAAGGGGAAGAGAGAAGTCATTTCATTCCAGGAGGTGCATGCAAAAGCAGAAAGAAAAGAGCAGGAAAAGTCAAAGCTTAGACGCAGCTAAAGGCAGACTGGAGAGGAGCCTGCAGGCAACTGGGAGCCACTAGAAGTCTCTAATGGAGCAGAGCAGTCATCCTTGGCCTAGAAAACAGGAACCCCAGGCACCAGTGTGAACAATAAACTGGGAAGGAGAATGACTGGCAGGAGCCGGCCTAAGGAGATGCCTTCGTAGACCAGGGCGAGGACTGATGTTCTAGAACTCCTGGTGCCCCGGACAACAGTACAAGAAATCACTGCTAAGGAAACGTGATGATATAACCGCGCTCCCCCAACAAACATAGAACCCAGACAGCAGAGGAGTGCTAATATAGCTCACATATTCTGCACTCACTCCCCGCCACCGGCCTCAAGAGGGCAAAGGACAATTTGCGGCTCCTCGTGTGAGAGGCTGCTGAGAGCCTCCAAGAGAAGCAAAGGCATCGGGAGACTCCTCGACCTGAGGATTCCTTGACCTCATGTTTTTCTTTGCACTGCTTATTGCTGGTTCACCAGTAAAGCACAGCATTTATCATGTTAGCCAAGCCTGAGTGGTCATCCCTGCCAACTTTCAAAGGAAGCGGGGTCCATTTTCTTAAGAAGCCATGATTTCCTAATAGTGGATCTTTACACTTTGGGTAACTGTAAACATCTGAATTTCTTGAATTGTCTCATATGCTTTGATTTCTTCTCCTTAATCCAATTGATCCTAACTTAAGGACTTTCCAGTCACTTTGTGAAAGTTTACTTTCAACTTGCATTCATTTAAGTCATATATGATGAAGTTTTGGGGTGATGGGGGTTTGTGGAGTCCAGAGATGACAGCCAAGAAAGAATTCTTGAAGACATCTTTGGTGCAAAAAGGTGATTTTATTAAAGCATGGGGACAGAACCCATGGGCAGAAAGAGCTGCACTGGGGTCCTGATGGGTAACTCATTATACACCCTCAGGTTGGGAGGGGGTCAGGGATAGAGTAAGTCTCTTAAAGAATTTTGGAAGCGAGGTTTCCAGGACCTTGAGGGGCTAGCTGTTGCTAGGGAAACGCCATTTATTACTATTCAATAAAACCTCAGTCATGAGACCTTTCGGTCATGAGACCTATGTGGGGCGGGGGGTATAGGCTGGGAGTATGATTGCCAGCATACATCTTGGGGCAGTTGAGATAAAGGAAGTAGACTTACAGGATCCCCGAGGTTGGGATAATGTTAAGCTAAGGTTCTCTTTTGCCCCTAGCAAAGGGTAGAGGGAGGTCACTCTGCTGGTCTCAAGGACTTGTCAATGGGCCATAGGCAGTAGGGGGATTTCATTTTTCATTTGCCTTAGTTTCCCACATCACCATGGCAAGCACTTAAACCCCTTCCCTTCGTTGTTGGGTAGCTGGGAGTGTCCAAGGAGTATCACACAGATCCCACCCGGGGTGGGGACAGGGGGGTGCTACCTTGGGCTTTGCCCCTCCGTCTGCCTCATGCTCCCCCATCACACAGACGATACAGAACTGGGCACACCTTACTGGCGGAACGGACAACCTCTGTATCTAATGTACTGCAGGTACACCTAACATAACTGAAATGCCAGTAAGACCCAAAAACTTACCCAAAAACGCTCTAATCGTCCCAGCCCCGATCTACTTTCCAGCCGAATTTCTCAATATTCTGCCTGTCCTTACACTACAGCCCCACGTGCCCTACCTTATTTCCCCCCAAAAAAGCACAACACGTTCAATTCCATGTGTTTGAACGTGCTCTGGTCGCTGGAGTAAGAAACAACAAATGAAATAACTCATCATACTCCACCATGAGCATCCACTGTGAGCTAGACACTTAGTAGGCAATCTGTATTAGCATCCTAATCTAATCTTCGCAGCCACCATACAACGTTGGTTATTATTTTTCCTATTATAAGCACATGAAAGTTGAGGCACAGAGAGAGTTTGCCTAAGAACCCGCACTACTCCCAAATTCTATTGCCTAGTAAGGAATGGCTGGGAACCCAGTTCATCTGAAAAACCCTAACTCGATGCTCAGAATCCCCCCTGCCAAGTCCTCCAATCCCCAAACATTACTGATCACAAGCCTCCTGGGGGTATTCCAGCCCTTCAGCTCTCCCCAAATTCAAAGTCGGCAAAGCCTTTGGGTCAGCAGTATCTCCCTCACTCTGCTGGAAGATACTAACAGCAATCATGACTTAACTCCTTTTGCACGTCTGCTTAACAGATGATAGGTGCTCGATAACTACACGTCGAAATAAATGACTGGTCCTCTGGCAAGCCGCTATTCCACCTTTCGCGACCCAAGTGGGGAAGGGAAAGGAACCGAGCTCAGGCAGACAGTTCCGTCCTTCCCAGCCCTTCCCCGCCCCCCCCCCCCCCCCGGTATTGTATGGCCAATGCATCTGTCCACTCCGCCGCAGGTAGCTCAAGGGCAAGACCAGTTACCACCCACAACTGGGTCCCCAGGGCTTAGCGCGGTACCCGGAACACAAAAACATGCCCGAAAATTGTTTAAGGGAATCGGAATCCAGTCCCCCAAACTAACTTTCTAAAACAAACTAGGGGAGAAACCGCTGCGGCTGAACAGCTCTACACGTGAGATTCTTCAGAATGAAGTGCATTCTCACTGCAGCTCCTGAAACTCTCCCCGCCCCCCACCCCCCGCCACCACCTCCACCCCCGATATCTGAGTTGACAGATTACACAGCCAGCACAAAACCTGGAAGCAAATATCACACACCCGGTTTATTGACCTTGGCTCGTCTAGAGATGAGGGCGCAAGCTGCATTTCTGTCTTCGGCGCTGAGTGGGGCCACTTTTACAGGTAAGCTGCTCCGTAGCACACCTTTAGGCACTGAAAGCACTACCTGGGTGCAAAGCTGGGGTGGGGGAGGGGAGGGGTCTCGACCGGGGCCGCGCAACAGACGCTGACGTCAGCCCGGACGCTTGACCTTGCGACCCCTTCCCAGGACCCGCGGCCGCCAGCGCCGCGCCCCTCACCTCGGTTCTCCTCCTCCAGGTACCGCACCCGCAGCTCGTCCTCCGTCTTCACCTCAGAGCTGTAGCCCCTCCGCGGGGCTGAGCCCCCGGCCACGGGCGCCCAGCCCCGGGCCCACATCGCTGGGCCGACCCGCGGGCCCGTCAAGGAGCCGGGCAGCCTCCACCCGGGGCCGAGCCGCGCACAGCAAGCGGCCACCAAGCGAGCGCGGCCGGCCTGCAAGGCGCCCAAGGCCCCAGGCGCCGCCGCCGCCGCCGCCGCCGCCGCCATCTTGTATGTTTACGGCGTGGGCCCACCGGGGGCTCAGCCCCGCGGATTTTTTTTTTTTTTTTTTTTTTTTTTTTTTTTTTTTTTTTTT